GGGGCAGCCACAGCTTCTCTGGGCACCCTGTGCCAGCACCTCAGCACCCTCACAGGGAAGAGCTTCTGCCTTAGATCAGATTTAAGTCTCCAAGTGTTGCTTGTATTTGCATCTGGGATCTGAATGTCTCCACGTATCCAAGCTAGGTTGTGCATGGGCCTGGGTGCTGAAGGCAACTAGGAGCAGTTCAGCCTGTGGCTCAGAGGATGCTGTGCCTGTGTCGACTCGCAGGTCTGCAGGAGCTGCATGCTGGCGTGGGAAATCTGTCCTTTCTGCAGGCTGTCAGCAGTACTGCTGTGCTCCAGAAAGCCTTCTTGTTAATAGAGCCATACTGGTTTACCCAATGGCCTGCCACCCCCAAACGTGTTGTATGTTTTGGGCCCAATTCTTCTCACAGTCCTTTGACCTGGACCCGTCTCTTTCAAAATCAGCCTCTTGAGGTTGAGAGCAGAATTCGTTGCCTAATACACACAGCCCTGGTTGGCATGTCTCAGTGCCTCTGTGGGCTGGGAGAAATTGAGGTTGAAGGACTAGTATGAGGCTGCAGAATTGTTCAGGCTGGGCAGGGTTTGGGAATCTGCAAGGAATGGGGACGTGCTGTACCTGCCCGTTCCTGGGAAACCCTGGTGGAGCTCCAGGTATTGTCCTTGTGCGTTTCCTGGATGTGGGGTAGAGGAGGGATTCTGGGGCAAGAGGTGGCCAGCCAGAAGACTGGTGTCCCTCTTGTGTGCTCTCCAAGGCGATCAGCATCTCTTGCTGCTGTTTTTCTGCTGCTTTGATGTACATGAAGACCCAGGATCAGGAGGCCACCGAGCTTTCGTTCCAGCTGCTTTTGCCCTCTCCCGCTCTGCGCTGCTTCTCTATTGTGGCGTGTAATTTACTCCCTGACTCCATCCTGCAGGCACAGTCCCAGCTCAGAAGTGTGATTACAGCTGTGGTGTTGCTGTGTCGTTGCCTTTTGTTTGCCACAATACAGCTCTCCTTGGGCAGAGCAGAAAGGAGAAGAAATAATAATGATGCATGGATGGAGAGGAAGATCTGACATGCCTTTCCAGCCCGTTTGCTGTGTATTTCATCTCGGGTGGGGACTCTCATTAACTAGTCACTCAGCAGAAGCAACCTGTACCTAAAGGTTAATTTCCACAGCGGTTGTTGCTGGGTTATTTGATGGTGGGCAATTTCTGTCCTCAAAAGATTCTTTTACTCCTGCTTAGTATTTAATGAGATTAAATTGCAACTTCTCTGAGACCTCGTGGCAGATGTGTGTATGTGTGGCAGGTGGCCACCAAAGCTTTGTGTGTGGACTTAATAGAAAGGCACTCGGGGAGCAGAGAGAAAACCCTTTCATAATGAGGGAGAAAAATAGTGGCGATGTTTGAAAGCTTCATAGGTGTTAATAAAAGATACTGCTTTTTCAGTTACACAGAACGATAAATACAATGGGCTTCTGCAAGAATCTGCCTATAGGACACAAATTATTGTAACATGACTTTGATGTACGCAGGATGGTCCTTTTAAGCCCTGGAGCAAGGTGACCTTTTAAATGGGGTGACTGTGGGCTGAGTTTTCCAGTTGATATAATGGTGCTGGGGCCCGTTCTGACCTTGCAGTGTATTTATAATCTTTGATTCCACTGATGAGTTTTTCTGGGAGAAGCTAGTCCTAATGCAGCAGTGATCCAGCAAGACCACTGAGGGCAATAGAGCTACTTCTGTGTCGGTGTAGTCGATATAGATCTCCTATACAAAGACAGGCTGAGGACACTGGGGCTGTTCAGCCTGGAGAAGAGAAGCTGCGTGGAGACCTCAGAGCAGCTTCCAGTGTCTGAAGGGGGCTACAAGGAGGCTGCAGAGGGACTATGC